AAATAACTACTAAAGAAAATGCCCTACAAGCTTCCCTATTCCCCCATTTTGTGGAGGCAATTTCTTTTCATTTTTAATTGATTTTTTTATAGAGCTCTAGATTTTTTTCTCTGCTCCCCTCCTGCCTCTCCCTTCCCCTTCAACCTTCTCCCATGGCCCCTATGCTCCCAATTTACTCAGGAGATCTTGTCTTTCTTCTCCTTCCTGTATATATTAGATCCATGTATGCCTCTCTTGGGGTCCTCATTGTTGTCTAGGTTTTCTGTGATTGTGATTTGTAGGCTGGTTTTCCTTGCTTTGTGTTTAAAAACCACCTATGAGCAAGTATATGTGATAATTGTCTTTCTGTGTCTGGGTTACCTCACTCAAAATAATGTCTTCTAGCTCCATCCATTTTCCTGAAAATTTCAAGATGTCATTATTTTTTTTCTGCTGTATAGGTAGTACTCTATTGTGTAAATGTCCCACATTTTCCTTATCTATTCTTTAGTCGAGGGGCATTTAGGTTGTTTCCAGGTTCTGGCTATGACAAACAAAGCTGCTATGAACATAGTTGAGCACATGTCCTTGTGGCACAATTGAGCATCCTTTGGATATATACCCAAAAGTGGTATGACTGGGTCTTGAGGAAGGTCGTTTCCTAAATTTCTGAGAAATCTCCACATTGACATCCAAAGGGGCTGTACCAGCTTGAATTCCTACCAGAAGTGTTCCCTTTACCCCACAACCTGTCCAGCATAAGTTGTCATCAGTGTTTTTGATCGTGGCCATTCTTACAGGTGTAAGATGTGATGTGGGAGTGATTTCTTTCTAATCTGTTGCTTTCATTGGTTAATTAATAAAGAAACTGCCTAGGCCCATTTGATAGGCCAACCCTTAGGTGGGTGGAGTAAACAGAACAGAATGCTGGGAGAAAGAAGCTGAGTCAGGGAGTCGCCATGATTCTCCCACCCAACACAGCCGCAGGTTAAGATCTTCCCTGGTAAGCCACCTCGTGGGCTACACAGATTATTAGAAATGGGTTAGATCAATATGTAAGAGCTAGCCAATAAGAGGCTGGAACTAATGGGCCAAGCAGTGTTTAAAAGAATACAGTTTCCATGTAATTATTTCTGGGCATAAGGAAGCCATGCGGGCGGCTGCGTGCCGGGGATGCAGCCCCACCACTCCTATCACTACAAAGATGGAATCTCAGAGTTGTTTTGACTTGCATTTCTCTGATGACTAAGAATGTTGAGCATTTCCTTAAGTGTCTTTTAGCCATTTTATATTTCTCTGTTGAGAGTTCTCTGTTTAGGTCTGTACTCCATTTTTTTTATTGGATTATGTGTTCTTTGGTGACCAATTTCTTGAGTTCTTTGCATATTTTAGAGATCAGTCCTCTGATGTGGGGTTGGTGAAGATCTTTTCCCATTCTGTAGGCTGTCGTTTTGTCTTGCTGACTGTGTCCTTTGCTTTATAGAAGCTTTTCAGTTTCAGGAGGTCCCATTTATTAATTGTTTCTCTCAGTGTCTGTGCTACTGGGGTTGTATTTAAGAAGTGGTCTCCTGTGCCAATGTGTTCGAGTATACTTCCCACTTTCTCTTTTATAAGGTTCAGTGTGGCTGGCTTTATGTTGAGGTCTTTGATCCATTTGGACTTGAGTTTTGTGCATAGTGATAGATAGGAATCTATTTTCGTTCTTCTACATGTTGATATCCAGGTATGCTAGCACCATTTGTTAAATATGCTTCCTTTTTTCCATTTGATATTTTTTGCTTCTTTGTCAAAAATCAGGTCTTCAAAGTTGTGTGGATTAATATCTGGGTCATTGGTCTGCTCCTTTCACTCAATGACTCTTGCTTATATCAAATTAACATAAAACTAGCCAGTGCACCCCTACTAAACAAAAGGTTATTCTTTTTCTGTAATAGATAAGGATATAGCACTCATGATATGTGAGTATCTTCACTGGGAATACACAGCCAGACTAGGCCAAGGCAGTCTTGTGAATGTGGGCAGAATGCCTGTGCAGCTTCCCTGACCAAGAAGTCTGTAGTTTCCTCAAAGGTATGATCAATAGCACACTTCCATGCAAGGGACAATAATTGAAAACTAATGTTTGCTATCAGCTTATATACCAGAGCATTTCAGACTGCTCCAGTTAAACCGTACAGCTTAAACAGCAAAGTCCTTGTGAGTATGCTGAGCCTCAGTCCTCACTTCACAAGAGAAGGCTAAATGATATAGCTAAATAGGTGACTTGTCCGAACACATGCCTTCCCCAAAGGTCAGGAGCCTACACACACGTCATACCTACACACCCACTCATGGCACTGCACTGCATACCCTACACTCCCACTCACTGCGCTGCACTGCATACCCTACACACCCACTCACTGCGCTGCATACCCTACACACCCACTCACTGCGCTGCACTGCATACCCTACACACCCACTCACTGCGCTGCAATGCATACCCTACACACCCACTCACTGTGCTGCACTGCATACCATACACACCCACACAGCACACTGCCCTGACACCTGTCTAATGGTGGCCCATTCCTACTCCAGCTCATTTGTGTGTACAGTGAGAACATCAGAACCCACAGAAATGATTTGAACTGTGCATGTATATATAGCATCAATCCCAATAGTGAGCACAAGCTGATTCATTAAATCCAGATCTATATACCTGTTCCGCACGTAGAAAGTGCACAAAGATGTGCGCTTTTCCTGAGCGCAGACTGCACATACCACGCCCTGTGGATTCTTAGAAGAATCTGCTCCAGAACTGTAGTCTTTTCACATCGCAAGGAGCTGCCTTCTCCTCCACCTCCACAGTTTCTACCTGCTCCTGTCAGCAAATTCCAATACCTGTTCATAGAGCATGGAGTTTAGATCCGATCCTCTGGCTTTCTGAGCCAAGGCATGTTGAAAGTGTCTCTTCATTGGAATCCCAGTGCTAAAATAATTCTTCTCATAACACACCATGTGTCTGGAGTAAAGAGGCCATCATATGACTCAAAGGACATCTAAACATGGAAACCTGAGCTCAGCCTGTACCTGGTGGGGTCCTGACACTGCTACCAGCGACACACGGTGCTTCTGAGGAGCAAGGTGAGGATGGCTACCTAATCTCGGTGCCAACCTGTGCTCCAAGGCCTCTCAGAACATTGTCTGGAATGAGAAGGGTCAGAGGCGAGCCTCTCTACACCTGTGTTGGACAGCTGCAGCAGAAGGTAAGAGGTGTCTGAGGTAGGCACTTGTGGGCTGGCAGCATAGGCATCTTGGCAAAAATACCAGAAGGAGTTTCCCGGCTACTGTCCTCACAACTTTGGCAGCAAGTTCTCTTCTCAGAACAGTATGCTTTGCCAGGAATATTTCCTGGGAGCAGCGCAGCACCCAGTCTTAGGGAGGCAGCTGGCATGGCCTACAGTACTCCCAGTTCTTTCAGCTACCTCACTGGCACTGGGATGTTAGCTCTGAAAAACATGGGTGAGGAGCATGGGCCATACACATGTCTCATGTGCGCTTTCATTTCTCAACTCCCAATGTCTGGGTCACCAGGTCCATTTCACTGTTGATTACTGAGCCATTGATTCAGAACTAGCAAAGTAACCCTGACGGCCCTAAATGGGTGCTTGCAAACCCAGTGACCATCCTCCTCATGGGACTGGAAAGACTAGAAACCCAGAGCAAACAGGAAAAGGCAGTCTGAGGTTCCAAAACCTCCCATAGCCATGGAAGGTTCCAAAATCTCCCATCTCCACAGAAGAGTTTCCTCCATCCCTGGTAGTCACATACTTGGGGAACAAGATGTCTGTTACAACACAGAGTCCTTCATTGCACCTAGAGTTAACACTGTGGGGTCCCAGTCACTTAACAACCACAGCTGACAGTTTTAGTTTCTAGAATTATGGCATTCACCCTTAGGCTGTGCAGCCTGTAGACACGGCAGCATGTGGGAGAAGCAGAAGAGAGATTTGTAGGTTATTCTCTCATATAAACGACCAGATCCCAGGGACCCTCATCATACCTGGTCACGTCCTAGACACACAAGCGTCAGTCCTGAGGACAGTGGCTTTGATGTGCCTGGGGCCACAGGGGAGGGGAGAATGCTGTCAGAAAGCTTGTATTTGTCCATAGCTGATCAAACAGAGTAACAAAATGTACAAATGAGCAACTGAACAATGTTTCATATTCAGGCTGGCTTCTCATCACGGTTTAATCCTTCTCTGTACCTTCTCTGTTTTTTGAATCAAACATTCATTAAGCATCCTTCCATATTACCCAAATGACCAGCCAAGATCAAATCCCACCCCTTACCGCTGTGGTTCTGAGCTTTTCAAAGTCTTGTTTATGGATGTATGCGTGTCCAACATTTCTCTCTATACTTATGGGTGCAAGTCCACCAGCTCTATTTGATCAATCCAGGGGCTTCACTCCGATCATGTCACCACAGAGAGTGTGAACCCTCATCACTCACGGTCAGACCCACTACTACAGGCAAAGACACCCACTCTGTCTGTTTCTGACCCCCACCTATTTCTCTTCTACCTCTGTTTGTCTCTTGTGTCTCCATTTGCGTAATGCTACCATCATGTCCATAAACCTTGCCAAATCTCCCATGCTGCAGGGCTGTGGTCTCCCCTTCCCTGTACCAGACCATGCTTTGCCATGTGCTGTCTGCTCTTTGCTCCTTCTTCTGCATGGAATCAGTAGGGTAAGGGGAGCCTAGCTTTTCACTGAGAGGTTCTGTTCCTGTCTGACAAGGGGAACCAGCAGCCAGGGTCATGTGCATACCAGGGCCTTCAGCGGAAAGAGGACCTGTGTCAAAGACAACTGCTTTGAGCCTTGAACCTTCGTGCATACTAGGAAATCTTGCAGCCAGAAGACACCACTTCTTCCAGTTCCAAGGAACAAAATGCCAGTCGTTCTCCCTAGGTAAAATGCCCAGACCCTTTCCAGAAGGAATCCCGCTAATTCTTTTTAAAGAAGGGAAAGAGATTCACTGATAGAAACCTTTTTATAATTTATTTGCTGTTGTTAATCTTCAGTAGAAAAACGAAGCTCTAGCTAAACGTAGGGTTTCAGTGGTGAAAATTTGACCCAATAAACAAATAAATAAATATTTACAGTCTTTGGCAAAAACAATGTTTCATTAACGTATATGAGAAGCTTTTGTTCTTTTTAAACTACATAAATAATTTACAAAAATAATATGGCACACTGAACGTATTCACATCTTCCCCACCACCTTGTACCATTCAACCAAATGCCCAAGGGAAAGCCTAAATGTTCTCCACACCCTCACAGTTAGAAGTCTCGTGTTGGCCTTGGAAATACAGTTCCACAGAAAGCAAAGAGTGCAGGGTAACAAAACACAGAGGAAACTCACCCTCAAAGACACCAGCACAAATAACTGTGTTAAGATGAACTGTGGAAGCTCAGAATCTAAGCATGGATTCTTTCTATCTGACTTAGAAATGTGACTGCCTTTCCCAAAAAAGGGATCATACTCTACCCACCCCAAAGAGAAACAAGATGTACCTCCACTGAACTCATGTGGAGTGAGAGAGACCATACTTCCTGCTGGGAGATCATGCAACTTAAAGCAAGACAATAAAACCATCCTAGCATGTCTGTTGTGTTGTGACTGATTAATGGGTGTGTCTGCGGGGAGGAGAATGTTTTCTTCAGTATTAAGATAAAAAGAACCTATATACAACCAATAGATAACAGTAAAATGAATTGAATTAAAATCATTGGTAACTGTGTGTATTAGGGTTCTATTTTATCATGACATGGAGCTTTGTATTTCAACCAGCAGATATTTTGGTAAGTGGATCGTTATATCATTATATCCTTGTCATATGCTTATTTCTAGAAATTACACTACATATTTGTTGCTTTGCATATTTAAAATAAGTTATTGATGAATGGAGCTACATTCCAAATTCATTTAATAAATATTAACACAACAGTTGTACCTGGAACCTTAATGAAATATCTTACCAAATTAGACAAAAGCAACTTTTGTATCATTCCAAAGTCTAGACTAGGAGTAGGGTACCAAAATGCATTTGCAAATTTATCTCCTAGTCTGTTTCCTAGTAGTAGGAACAGGAAAGGATGCCCAGTCAGAGATCCTAGCAGTCAGTGAGCAGAGAGAGCTCCATGACTTCCAGCCAAGGAGGCTCTCCACAAAGCCCAGGAGGTGCTTGCCTCTGAAAGCTCTGAGTAATCCTGAAAGATTCCTTTTTGTAGTAATACACCTTTTTTTGTCTTCATCAAGTCAGTTGTTATCTGTGAACCAAGAGGAATAAAAGGGGATTTTCATCTAATTTTCCAATCAGTGTCTACGTTCTGATTAGTCAGTGTTTAATATCACTGGACAAGGGGCCACAGTCATGTGACTGTCTTCTGACCTTTTCCTTACTGCAGCCACACTCACCTGATCTTTCTTTAGAATTGCCCTTACAGGATTGGTGTGTTGCTGAACAGCACAAATCCAAGAACAGTGACAACATTAAGCACTGAAAGTAGGTGAGCAATAGTTTTCATGCTTAATTTATGAGAATGACTTATACACAATATTCCCTTCAACTCCATATACACATAAATACTGCAAGTAATTACATTTTACATGTAAACGTCATTCTGTTTAAACAGATAGGAAAAGACAATGCAACAACACACTAAGTTTCCACTCCGTGGTGAGTCTCATTTCTCATCAAACTGTTTTCCAGCAGCGGGCCAGATGCTCATCTTGCAGTTCCCTTGATGTTTGTCATTTGAAGGCACTTGGACTTGGTGCTGATGCAGGAGGTGAAGATCCACTCAGTTAAGGTCAAGAAACAGAAAATGCTGAAAGAGAGAAAAGCTGCAAGTACCAAGATGGACCGACGTGTCTCGTAAACAGTGTTTGTAGCACATTGATGGAATGCAGCCTTTCTCTCTAGACATCTGGAAGAGAAGGAGCAATGGGATTAGGAAGGAATGACCAGGGGTATTTTATTATGTACCTTTATTTGTTCATCTCATACCTGTAGCCCAGGTTGTCCTAGAACTTGGTATGTGACTCAAACTGGCCTCAAGTGAAGCAATCGTCCTGCCTCAGGCTCCCGTGCATCTGTTTACCGATAGCTTCAACTATCATCGTATTAATAGGTATATGTAAAGCTGATGGGTAGGACAGACTGTTAGCTGTGTGGATGGATGAGTAGATGGGAGATGAGCGGATGGATGGGATGATGGAAAGATGGATGCATGTTTGGAGAGGAAAAATAGATGTTTTGAAGGATGGGGACATAGATGGATAGATTAATGAGTAGATACATTAAAAAAGAAATATCTTCAATGGAATCTTATCATAAGAAAAGGACCTTCGGTAGAAGGAGAAGGAATATGGTCTTGTCTTTACTTCTCTTTTATTTGTGTATTATTTTCAAGGTGTGAGCACTGAGAAATATTCCTGAACTTTCCTGATCTGCTCTGTAGGCCTGTCAGTACACTAGACTGGAGTCAAGTTTGTTTTCAGGCTTATCTTTTGGTTCAGATAAATACATTTCTAGCAGTATAACTAAGAATTAGACTCCTTCCTTCCCTCACTTCTTCCTTCTATCTCTCTTCCCCTCCTCCATTCTCCTTTTCCTTCTTCCTTTCCTTTCTTCTTGCAATTTTCAGTAAAGATAATATTCTAAAATGCCCCTAGGAACTCAGAGAGTATGGAAACAGGAAGCTACAGTATCAGCATAGTGGCAGATGACCTGTGAACTATCAGAAAGTATTTGTCTTACCAAAGACCTTCAGATTCAATATAAGAAAAAAAAACAACAACAACAACAAAAAAAAAAAACAGAGAGAGCAGGGGGATGTAAGTTGCCTAAACTACATCTTTGCTACAAGGGCAGAAACTGTAAGTCATCATTCATTTCCATGGAATGAAGCCTCTGTAGACAGAAAAGTGGATGTCAGTCCCACCCCGGTCCTGTGGGACCATTCCCTGATGAGAACCTGCACTCACCTCTGCATTCATACTTGAGGTCCGAGAAGTAGACCATTTCTTGGGAGAAGACAAACAGGCCGAGCCTTCCACCAGCATAGGTTTTATCATAGATTGGTCCTGAATCAGCCATGACCTGCTTTCCTTCATGCACCAAGACTCTAAGGTAAGAAAGTGAAGGATAAAAGAGAACTTGAACTTGGCAGCACATTCTCTGGAGAGGCTAGTGGTTGGTTCTGGATGGCAGCTGTTGATCAAGAGGAGTTTGGTCTCCCTGCTTGGTGCTAAAGATGAAAGCATGACCTTGTGTATGCTGACCAAGAGTTCTCTGCTCTACCACTAACTGAGCTGACCCAGACCAACCCAGAGGATCTATAGCCCCATACTCTCCTCAGGGTTTTAGCAACTGGGCTGAGCTTACTTTCCTTGTGGGAACACCGAGTCCTATCAGGAAGCAGGGGCTGAAGAGACCATTTCTTCTCACAGGCAAAGCTGTTGTACCCTTTGTCCTTTGTGTATGTGTATGAGAGGGGGGGGGGGGGAGAGAGAGAGAGAGAGAGAGAGAGAGAGAGAAAGAGAGAGAAAGAGAGAGAGTGAGAGAGAGAGACTAATCACCCAGGTTTGCATTAGGTTGCCTTTAAGAGCCAAGGCAGTGTGCAGAGTGAGTGAAGGCTGTTTCCTGATTGCCTATAGGAGATGGGTGCCTGTTTCTCTTCCTTAGAGACAGGAAGATGGTGGCTGCCTGTATCTCTTCCTTAGAGACAGGCTTTCTCCTTGGCTTTCATTTTTTTGAAGATCCCTAATCTCATCTTTGTCCCATTGGAAGAGCTGTCTGAAAGTAGCGACAGGACTCTATCTTCCTAGCCCAGAGTGTAAAGTGATGTCACAGAATTCCCTAATGGAGCACATGACAATGGGATCCCCTTTGCAGGGACATCACACCCTGCACACGAGTTTACACCTCACCTTCCCAGACCCTCAAGTATCTGCAAACACCAGACAGCCAACAGGTCTCTGGCTCATTGGCAGAACATTTGCTTATCATGTACAAAGTTCTGGATTTCATCCAGATGGATGTGGAGTGGGCTTCACACCACCCAACAAGTATCTTAAGACACAGATTTCTTTCAAGATTTTAAAGTAACTGATGTGTAGTAAGAATGCATGATAGATGAGAAAAGACATTTAAAACTAAGGAATCCGGAGAAGAATTTAAAAGAGTTCTTTATGGCACAGTTATCTATTTATAATCTCCAATGGGAAGGAAGACAAAGAAGGTAGATTATCCCTTCAATGGGAAAACAATCTGTCTGTCCAATGGGAAGCAGACTACCCATCAATTATAAAAGCCATCTAGCCATCCAATGGAAAAAGCAGACTGGTTATTTACAAGAAAGGAAGATTAGCTCACCCAATGGGAAGAAAGTCCTGAGGGACCTACCACTAAAGAGAAATGTACAACTGCCCTTACCTCATGTAGCCTGTCTTGGGCCTGTGAATCAGGTGCCACCTGTAGGCAGTGTAGTCTTTCCAGCCAATGTTTTTGGGGTCGTGCCATAGCGTGCGCACCTGTAGAACAGCATTGTTGTTGAAGGATGAGATACATGCCTCTCTACCATTCTTCTCTCCCCTACAACTGGACTGTGAAAAGCAATGCCCTACTTGCTTCACTACTCCTCTTGTATATTCTGTTTTATGCACTATATCTTCAAACACTGTATATCATCTGCCCTACTGTGCACACCTGTGGGGCACTACAGGCTGCTCCGAAATCCACTGCATAGTGTGCTGAAGCTAGCACTAAGAGCACGAACACTTGGCCCAGACAGGTATGGATCTGAATTCAGATCTTCTTTTCTTGGGTGTGACACTATGAACAGAACACTCACACTTTCGAGTCCTGTCTCTATAAGAGAATGAACATGTGTTCAGTCTTGTCAGCTTTGTTGACAGGAAGACTGGGCATTCTGTGTTTAATGAAGTAGGCATTCAATGTCAACTATTAAAATGATTTCTACTTGATTAAAAATGAGCCGAGAACATCATTTAAAATTAAAGAGTGCGAAGGGTCTATACGGAAGAGGTCATCAACTGCTCAGTCCCTTACCTGGCCTTCTGTGTTTCCTGTGTGCCACAGGGCATTCCTCAGATGTTCACCGGTGCCAGTTGTGGAGTTCACCACTTTGAGGGACACACCAGAGTAGCCGTAAGCACGACTGGGCTTGTCTTCCCAATAGGTCTGGGTGACCTGTTTCCACATCACCACGTAGAAGCGGCTGCTTGACTGATAGCCGAAGACGAAGCCAGCGTAGTCATCATCCCGGTCAGTGTTGACATAGAATGTGCCACTGAAGTCCACAGACCCAAACTCATCAAAACCTGGATACGGAGGAAATAGGCATGGTTTGGAGGCCCAGGGAAAAGCTCTTCAGGGACCCCTCAGGGGCCCATGTCACAGAAACGTGGGTCTAAAGAGCTTAGATTGGCTCTGCCCCATGCTCATCACTGAGAGATTAGCAAAAGCTACAGGACTTGTGACCCAACCAATAGCCTGCTGGGCTCCAGAACACAGGCTCCACTGTGTTGTATACCATTTCAGAGAGTCCATAATATAAACTAGCTTATTGAACACCAACTCCATAGACCTGAAGGGCAAACCTGCTCTTTCCCAGAGCCCCTTCCCAGGTTTTTAAGGGAGGCTGTTCTACATACCAAGACAGGGTAAGACTACCAGGAAAATTATCCTGAATCCTGTCCACATGGCCTCACTTGGCCACTCAACAGCATCACCTCACTTGGGATCTCAGACTCACCTACAGCAATGCCAGGGTCCGAGTTTGCCGTTTGCACCAGCTCTTTGCCTTGGTGACGAATCACCCAGTTGGGATCAATTTGAGTGGTTCCCTTGGGATCCAGAGGGACCATCTGGAAGTTCCTGAAGTCTGTCTCAGTGATAGCATTGTTCTCAGGGCACACGTCATCAATATCTGGGACGTTGTCATTGTCAAAGTCATCTTTACAAATATCACCTCGGCCGTCACCTGTGGATAAGAAAGAAACAGACACAGGGGCAAAGGTGAGTGCTTTGCACTTGTTTCTCATAAGCAGAGACCTCTGGGTCCCTAAGGTCTGTGGCTGAGCATCCTGCAGGTATCTATGGATTGAGAACCAACTGCCTCCTTAAGCACTGAGTTTGTAAAGCAAATAATCCCAGAGGTGCTTTTTAAAACATCATCACAGCAAACCCTGAAGCCAACAATAGCACGGCAAGGCCCTTGCAAGAGCTTTGCTCCCTCTCACTCAGAGGAGGCTGTTTGTCTCTCACTGTTGTTCTTAATAACTGGAGCCATTTTAATTTATTTGGCATTTAAAATAGAACCTTTGCAGCACACATGACTTTCCCTAGGGAGATTGGGCCCAGAGAGGTTGGTCTGCAAAGGTGGATAGGTCATGTGTGTGACCTCACAGCTGCCCCACCGTTGGCCACAGTGAGATGCCCACAGGCAGAGGCAGTGGGGTAAACAGGCATGCTGCTGTGACCTCTTATTTCAAAAGGAAGAAAAGAAACCGTATTTGGTATCAAGATTGATATCTTCATTCCCCCACTCTTCAAACTAATTTCCAGTTCTGTATCCACTGCCACATCCTCCCCTGTCATGTGACACACATAATTAGGTGTACAGGCATTTCCTTTTCTTGAGACAGGGAGGGAGGGTGTCTGTAGGGCTTACCTCAAGGATGACTTTGAACTTCTGGTCCTCCTACTTCTACCTCCTGAGTTATAGGTACTCACCGATATGCTTTGTATATATAGTACTGAGTTTCATGTATGCTAGGCAAGTTCTCTATCAATTAAGCAGCATCCCTAGTCTCAGTGATGGCGTCTTAAAAGTATTAAAAATGTCAGCCTAAGTATGTCAACCTCTCCTCCTTCCCAATCCCCTTCCTGATGAGCCCAGATCTCACCCACCCCACCCCTGCTTGCACTGGTGTCTGTATCAAGCTGGAAACTTTCTGCTAAAAGCTGTTTCCCATGCAGGGAGGATCCTGGAGCTGCCCTTGGGCCTGGGCCAGGCCTTTCTCACGTGCTTCTGAGTCAGATTGGCTCAACACCCCAGGGCTCCTGGTCTCCATTTGTTCAGGATAAGTGTCTTCCAAATAGAGCTTGGATCATTCTAGCCATTGGGAGGGAGTTCATGGCCAGCCAACCAGCAAGCAAAGCTGTGTGCTTTGTTATTTAGGATTGTAGTGACTTCCTCCAGAACTTGCACAGTTACAGACCAGCGGTTTACACAAGAACTTCCACTTCAACTTGCCCTATTTTAGTTACTAGATTCAAAACAATAAATCCCCCCATTCTGTCACAGGCTGCATACGTGAACCTTATTTCTTTCTAAGTGACTCCCAAAGGTTTTCAGAAGTACGGAATTATTGAGAGGGTTCCTCATCATGGCACGTACAAGCACACTTCTCCTCTGTCATTGGTAGAATATTAAACACACCAGAAGAAGCTGAAACTGCCAAGTATACTGGACAGAAAACCAGCCATCCCTGTGGCCAGCAAGCTAAGACAGCCATCCTTCTGACTTTTAAAGTGGCTTGTAAACAGAGAAGCAGGTCTACCTCTGTAGGACTGCTCACGCAGTTTGCAACACACGCATGAGCTGAGGAAGGCCCCTACCATCTGAGTCTTCCTGGTCTGGGTTGAAGACAAGCCTGCAGTTGTCCCTGTCATCTGGAATACCATCGTTGTCATCATCAGGGTCGCAAGCATCACCCTTGCCGTCATTGTCGTGGTCAGCCTGATTGGAGTTGGAGATGTATGGGCAGTTGTCCTGGTTGTTCTGGTGGCCATCATCATCGATGTCCTCATTGTTGTCACACTGATCTCCAACAAGGTCATTGTCCATATCCGTCTGTAGGGCAGAGCAGGAAGTGAACACCAAGAGTATCCCTGAGGAAGTCATTGAAGGCTAGGTGCCAGATCAGAGACCCACCCCATTGGGTTATAGGACAGTACTGGGGGCAGGGTGCAAAAATGGGGTGTTTTGGCTTGCTTACACAGAACAGAGCCTGAAATCCCAGACCCTTGGGTTCAGATTCTCCTTCCTGTACCCCATCCTATCAGGGACTTATAGTTAACTGCCGTGCAACTGTCACTGGTATCATTTCCCCCTGCATTTGTTGCTGTACGCTCTGCAAACCGTATTTCTAGGTCACATTCTCCTTGTCCCTTCCAACAGCCAGCCTGGAAATGTAGCTGGTTCTGAGTTTGCCTCAGAGTAACCATGGAGACAAATATCCCCCCAGACAGTGACGGGAAGCCACTTGGCCTATGGCCACCTAGATACAACATGCTTAGGTGTGGGCTCGGTAAGAGGTTCCAGCTGAGATTATAGAAAAATCTATGCTGTCATCTTGGCAGAGCAGATGAGAACCACACAGAAACATCTTTCTGAAACTGTTTGAGCATATGGCACACCCTGTCCTGAGATGCCAGTCGACCTCAAAGACTAATCTCAAGGCAGCAGCTGAGGCTCACAGAGCCCCGTTTAGAGATATTCCATCACCTGATCTGGGTTGTGCATCAGGGGGCAGTTGTCACAATGGTCGCCCACGCCATCCCCGTCCGTGTCTCTCTGGTCAGTGTTGTAGACATAGGGGCAGTTGTCTCTCTCATTGAAAACATCTGTGGACAGAAGAGAAAAGTAGTAACACCCTGAGTCTAGAGAAGACACGTCATTTTCCCATCATAAGATACAGACAAATTTTCACTGAGAAAAAATGGCAAAAATGTAAAGATTATTAGATTCAGGGAAGAGTACATGGTAGAGTTTCCATTAAAATTCAACTTTCCAGTGAGATGATGTCTCAAACACACACACACACACACACACACACACAGAGAGAGAGAGAGAGAGAGAGAGAGAGAGAGAGAGAGAGAGAGACATTCTCTTAGCCTAAAATATAGCTAGTGTTGTAATTCTCTGGGGTGATGCTGTTCAACCAGAGGAGGGTGAGTGTGGCTTGTCTCTGCGCTTGCTGCCTTGGCCACCCCACTTAGAGCTCAGAATGTCTGTGCTAATGGCAGGCTCTGGGTGATGCCTTCTCATCCACACACAGCAGGAGAGAAGCCGTGGTGGAGATAGAGTGGCCAGAGTCTTAGAAATCTGGAAATAGATAACACAGTCCACCAATACTGGAGAAACAATAATAATCTTAAAAAGATACGGTGGTAAAGTGAAGGGTCATAACTAGCAAATGAGAAAGAAGGGACCCTGGACACTGGCCTTGCCTCACAAGCAAGGGGAGGACATCTAGGGAGGAACTGAAGGCAAACGGACAGGGTCTAAGAACCTGAGACTCTAGTCAGCGTAACAGATGCATTAACCGACATCAAGACAGAAGGAAGAACCTGCTGACCGCACTGAGCTCTGAGAAGGCAGAGTGGCTCAGACTGTCCTGAGGGTGAGGCTGGATGTAGAAGCTCACTGGAAAGTTCTACAAGAACTCAAGCTTTAAGATGGCTCCAAATAAGAGGGTAGAGTGAGTCAAAGTGGATGAAGAAACTCGAGGCTGGGAAAGGATGAGGAGGGTGAGACTCAGGGCACATGGAGAAGCTGAGCCGAGCAATGCTCCGAGTGTCTCCTGCCTCTACAGCGACACTGTGAGATAGGAGTGCAGATTCCTGGGGCCATACAGCAGTTCCCTGGGCTCTTTCATGGGGCCACGGAGTCTCAGGGTAAAATGTCAGCCCACAGTGATGCCAGAGCTCTCGGGGGACATACATTTCACCCTACCTGTCTAGGGAGCCAGATTCTGTACTCAGACCTAACCAATAAATACCACTGAAAAGGGATGGAAGTGAGACAACAGCTCTCCTCAGACCTTTCTCAGAGCAGGGTGAGGCATAAGTGCAGGTCTTATATGTTTTAGATGGAGCATTCACTGTAGAAGATTCTGGAAAAAGAATATGGAGAAGCAGTTGTGGAACTAGCATCAAGGGAAGAGGATGCGGGAAATTGTGGTTTTCTGAGAATGGGCCTGAGGCTTGTGGGAGAAGGCAAGCTATTTAAGAAATCAATTTTATACAGTAGCAATAAAGTTGAGCTCTTGCAACAAGTTCAGAATTGTGAATGCAGTCGCTCTGGTGTACATAGAGGGCTGTTATCAGGACCTACAAAGATGCCAAAATCCAGATGCAAACATCACACCATTATACAGAATGGTGTGATGTTTGCAAGCAATCTAGATACAACCTTTTGTTTAAGGATAAGATAAAGATCTAGCAGGTAGTAAGAATGGGTAAAAGTGCTTGCAAGACAAGCCTGACAACCCAAGTTCAATCCTCAGAACTCAACATCAAAACAAAACAGACAAACAAAAATCAGATGCAGCTGAGCATCAGTGAACATTGTAATCCCAGCACCTCAAGGGCAAGATGAGCAGAAGACTCAGAAACATCACCTGACTGTTACCAGAGGAGCTTATCTGGAGTTGAGTGAAACAGAAACCAGACAGATCCTGTCTCAAGGAGGTGGAAAGAGAGAACCAACCCGTGAAAGTTGTTTTCTGACTCCCAAAGGCACAGGGCAGCACCCTCCCCCTCCGCATACCCTCGGACGCACATAAATAAACTTTAAGTCTGTACACGCTCATTAGATGTGATCTCTTAGTCAACGCTCCATGGTTAGCTGATTTGTGGCTGTGAACCTGCGTACACAAGGTGCTGACTCACTTATGACCACGGACCCTTATCTGAGTCACTAAGATAAGCAGAGCTACTGACCGTCCCCGTCAATGTCCACAGAGCAGGCGTCCCCTTCACCGTTGTTGTCGGTGTCGATCTGTGCTGGGTTGTGCACATAGGGACAATTGTCACAGCGGTCTCCAACCTCATCCTTGTCGTAGTCCAGTTGACGGGGATTAAAGAGGAGCTGGCAATTATCCTAAAAACACCAGAAAAAGACATAAGGAAGAGCACAGGACATATACCAGATGACCATAAGTCAGTTCAGTACTTAGGGGACAAGCAACAAGGAAGCAAAGGAAGCCAGCCAGTTAGCCCTCCCTCCGTGGGCACCTTTTCAACATCATGTGACTTTGCGGTTACATACACAGTTGGCCTGTCCCGTAAGTGTTAAGCTCTCCTATTGCAAAGGGGTCATTTCATCTGTTTTCACAGGGAAGTCAAATGGACGCGATAGTGGGTGACTGGACGGATGGATGGGTGAGGCATGGAGAGCCCCGGATTTCCCCACAGAGAACCCATCCTCAGGGAGCTGCGGGAGTCACATGTTAAACCTTCTGCTTGTAACACTCATCGCTTGCCTCAAGCACAGCTCAGCAGAAGGAAAGGAAGCTAATAAGGTCTTTGATGCAATTAAAGAAAGTGACGTCACTGAGTTTTACACTAGCCAATCAGCATTTGCGGAGACAACTTTCTCTACCAGTAGCCTCTGGGAACTATTCACAAATATGTGTCAGTAGACAAGCCTTGGGGACACTGTTGGTGCAGGGGCCTAGTCTCTTCCAACAGCTGAGTGAGAGCAGCTGAGTGTCTGTCTGAGAGCAGCTGAGTGTCTGAGAGAGAGCAGCACCCGTCCTACCTTCTCATCGCTCACGCCATCATTGTCATCGTCCTCATCACAAGCATCTCCGATCCCATCCTTATCAAAATCCTCCTGCCCAGAATTTGGCAGTTTGGGGCAGTTGTCCTGTAATTCGGAGAGGAATAATCACCATGAAAGCATTCCAAAGTGGCTTTCTTTCCAAAACAGGGAAAACAAAGCAAGACTCATGAAGCTAAGGATATAAATATCTGATACAAGTCCTCAGATAAACGCAGGACGGAGGCCAGAGCCAGCTGGCCTGGACGTGTGCTGTTCTTTTAAGTCCTACCCTGGGAATTATGTGGCTTCTGCACACGAACAGACAAAAGGAGCCCTGTTCTGAGCCCAGGACCTCCAGGAAGGGATCAGACACCTGGGAGAAGAAAGGAGGGTGAAGGGTGCCTGCCCAGGGGAGGCAGAATAGCTAATGCTTGGAGTCCAGTTCCTTCCCACAGCCGTAGCCAATGAACCAGGTGCCTTAGTGTCTATGCACGCTCTGCCCTCAGTGGCCGGCAGGCCTCAAAGGAAGAAGCCTCCTCGTATATGGGTCAAGCTTTGCAATTCCTGCATTGAACAGATGCTTAGAAGAAGGCAAGGCAAACTCCATTCCAGCTTGCCACAGTTGATGAACGTGTGACAGCTGCGTCCACTGTTATGTTACCTGAACCTGAGCCATGGACCCAACTGAGGGACTAAGGGAGAGTGGTGCAGGGAAGTGCAGTGTTGGCTTCAACCACATCGTGCCTTTGTGTGTGTGTGTGTGTGTGTGTGTGTATACATACATGGTGTGTGTATGCATGTGTGTTTGTGTATGTGTGCACATGCATTATGTGTGTCTGTGTCTGTGACAGGTCCTCTATGAAATGATTATATTGCTGCTTAAGATTCTGCAAATGTTTTACAAACAAATCACCATGGTACCACAGACTGGAGGAAACACACTGTGTGTTCTGAGATTCATTTCAGTGTGTGTGTGTATATGTGTGTGTGTGTGTGTGTAAATCTCTGCCTTGTTTCTGTGAGTCTTGCTTTGTAGCCAATTCTTTCCATCTTTACTCAGTGTTATAAAGGAAGAAATTCCTGCACTATGACTTTGTCACTTTAAACATAAAAGGAGAGTTTATGCATATAATTAAGTTTTTAAATGACTCTTCAATGAGAAGCCTTGCAGCACCTACACTTGTGAAGTTACAGAGGCCCAACCTGTACTAACCTCTCATGTGCTTGATTAAACTCTGACTCCCCAAACAGGCCTATACCCTGGCACGCGTGTGTCTTTGTAAAGAAAGACATTTGATGGCATCTTGCCAAGTGATCCCGAGCAGGATAACTTGTTGGGGTCATTTCAGCCTCACACTCTGGGGATAGGCATGGACTCATCAAGTCCACTCACTGCTGATGGGCCTAGGAATCAGCAACGAGCACCATGAGTGTGTGCTGCTTTCCCTAACTATCCCTGGAATGAAAAGAAAATGAAGGGAGAGATCTCTGTGTTCAGTGTTTGAGGTGGACCCCTGTGCACTCCATACATCAGACCCAAGCTCTCTTCATGCCTGCAGTTGTAGGAGCACATGTAGGGCTAACACGGCCCAGTCTCAGAGCAGGAGGTTCATGTGGGGTAGTAGTTTCTCACTGTTTAGATCATTGCTCCCAGATTGGCCCAGTCTTTCCTGGCAGTGACCCACTGAAGAGAGACTGAGGGTAGACCTTTACACTGGCTGAAGAGGACTGAGGGGCAGACTCTTCACTGATGAAGAGGATGGGGAGCAGACCCTACACCAATGAAGAGCCATTAAGGCATGGAGTCCTGGCACCTACTTAAGGGAGGACTAAAGCACACAGTCCTAGCCCTTGGCCTGAGATGATGTCAGTCTCACCTTGATGCAATGGTAGGTGGCATTGGTGGCACACACCAGGTTGTTGTTGGGCCAGCCATCCAGGTCTGAGTCCTCCCCACAGATGAGCCCGTCGCCGGCATAGCCAGTCTGGCACTCACATTTGTACATTGGGTCACTGAAGTGGCCCAAGTAGATACACTCTGCATGCTTGTGGCAGTTGTGAGTCTTGTCCTTGCACGGGTTTTCTGGCTCACAAACCTGCAAAGCAGAGAGTAGTAAGAGCTACAAAGAGGGCGCACGAGGAAAGAAGGTGACGATGGGTACCCCTGATAATGGCAAGAGTCTTATTGTGAGGGACATGGAGAGTAGGGCATCATGCTGGGTTCTTGTTTTTTATTTTTAATTAATTTATTTATTTATTAAAGATTTCTGCCTCCTCCCCGCCACCGCCTCCCATTTTCCTCCCCCTCCCCCAATCAAGTACCCCTCCCTCATCAGCTCGAAGAGCAATCAGGGTTCCCTGACATGTGGGAAGTCCAAGGACAATCCACCTCCATCCAGGTCTAGTAAAGTGAGCATCCAAACTGCCTAGGCTCCCCCAAAGCCAGTACGTGCAGTAGGATCAAAAACCCATTGCCATTGTTCTTGAGTTCTCAGTAGTCCTCATTGTCCACTATGTTCAGCAAGTCCGGTTTTATCCCATGCTTTTTCAGAACCAGGCCAGCTGGTTCTTAAAGTACTGATTTGGATCTCTCTGGGAGAAGACTTGAGTATTTTATAGTGGTTATCTGAGCCAGATAAATATCATTTCTGAGCTTACCATGTGATACTGTTCATCATGGCTTTGCTAAGAATCTGTATCAGTGTAGTGGCTTCAGGAAGTGAAGTCTCTTTGGAGGTGTATAGTTGTTAGGATCCTGCCACTTCAGCATGTCAATGCTGAGTCTCTCTCTCTCTCTCTCTCTCTCTCTCTCTCTCTCTTTCTCTGGCTTCTACCAGGTGATGACAGCACAGACACCTGAACTAGATGCCTGGTCTTCAGTCTGAGATTTCCAGTCTCCAAAATTGTGATAAACCGTGTTTTTCCTTTATCCATACCCTACCCTGGGCATTCTGTTATAGCATCCCAGAGGTGACCAAGGTGTCACTGCTGCCCAGAAGTTCATAGGCCCTTTGCATGAAGACATGTATTCCACATGTCAGTAGGAGAGGCCCCGGATGAACAGAGAGGCTTTCATAAGATAAACTCTATCTCTGTCCATCTCTCAGCGATGTTGCCCCTTCTCTTCCCTATCCCATCTCCACTTGCCTAGACTTGTCTGACTTTTTAAAGCCTTTAGAAACACAGGCAAGGCCAGCAGCACTTACTTGTTTCTCTGTCCGTGCAGCCTCCAGGCCAACCCCGAAGGGCTGGCTCCCCTTGTAGCGTGGGGGACAAGGCAGACAGTGGAAGCCAGGGTCGGTATTGACACAGCGGGAAGCTTTGTTGGTTGAGAAGCATATATCTGTGACCACAGCACACTGTGAAGACAAACAGAAGTCAGCCTTTCTCATTATCTCCACAGGATACCCTGCCGCCCAAGGTGAAGGTACTAACCTCATCCAGGTCCTCACAGTGGGTGCCATTACCCAGGAAGCCCACTGGGCAGGAACCACAGGACCAAGACCCATCAGGGAAGCTGTTGCACTTGGCTCCAGGAAAACATGGGTTGGATAAGCATCCATCTGCATGGAGGATGGGGAACAGGGACATGACCAGATACCACACACATTTGTACATGTGGGCACACACACACACACATACATACATACATAAACATAAACATACAAGTATATATGCCTTGTTACCTATCAGTGGGGCAGCTCCTTTCACACACACACACACACACACACACACACACACACACACACAGACAAGCCCTATGCCCTATGACTCACCAATGGGGCAGCTTCTCTTATTGCACATTTGATGTTCCTTCACATCCCCCACACAGTCCTTCCCACCGTACTGGGGTTCTGGGCTGTTGCAAACACGTGTCCGTTCACGGATCCCTCCAGCACAGGTGACTGTGCAGGCCGACCAAGGGGACCAGGGGCTCCAACGCCCATCAACTGTAGAGAGAACCAGAAAAGGTAGCTGAGAGGAGCATGGAGGGCTGGATGTGTTACCTGTGCTGGCAAGAGCAGAGGGAAGATGAAGTTGATATCCTGGCTATTCCAACATAGTTGAAGAAGCCAGTGTGTGAGTGAAAAGGGAGGGGCTGGCCACACTCAGGATTGATATACAATTGCTGATCGATTGTTTTGCCTCTGAAAGAAAATCCTTCTAATCTTTCACAGCCAGAAGCCTTAGTTTCCTTACAGAGCCAGGCCTCCGGGGTAGGAAATACTTTGTGGGATGGATTCTTATTGCACTGGGCAGATAGGCAGTGAAGATCTGGGTGGATAACCTGTTGTGTGGAAGCAAACCTCCCGCATCCACACACTGCAGAAGTCCAGCCTCCCTGGGGAGGTCCTGGTATCCTAAGCTATGAATTCCATAAGCTGGAACTTGCTGTGATCCGGACAGCCCTGTCCCGAGACCTGTCCTGCTGATTTCCTGCTCCAGATCCAGGTTGACAGTGCTGGCTTATTTTTCTGCAGATGACAATCCACGCTCACCTGATTGACCTGTGCCTGGTACAGAGACATCAAGCTAACTAGGGGGTCAGGGTGGTGTTGTAGGAGCTGCGGGCCTCTTTTCACAGCCCGGCTCCTAGCCACCGGCTAGCTTTGCCCAAAATAACAACACACAAATTGTATTCTTTTAAACACTGCTTGGCCCATTGTATCTAGCCTCTTCTAGGCTAACTCTCGCACCTGGACTAGCCCATTTCTAATAATCTGTGTAGCCCACGGGGTGGCTTACCGGGAAAGATTCAGCATGTCTGACCTGGAGGCTTGCTTCATCGCGTCTGCCCGGGAGAGGGAAGCATGGCGTCTCTCTGAGCTCACTTCCTCTTCCTCCCAGCATTCTGTTCTGTTTACTCCTCCCACCTATGTTTTAACCTATCAGGGCCAAGCAGTTTCTTTATTTTTTAACCAATGACCTTCCTCCATCAGGGTGGGGACCCGGTGATGGGCTCTGTCCTCAGAGCAGGAGCAGCCACACCCCCACTGCTCAGACTCTGCTGGCTTTTGGTTTAGTGGCCAGCAACCGTCTCACCCCTCCCCATATCCCCGACTTACTTGGGCAGGGTGTGCCCTGGCAGGCCTTGGTCTCCCGGCCACTGCCCTTGCAGTTCTTGCCACCCATCTGGGGCACTGGGGAGTTGCAGAGACGTATGCGAGTGACATTGCCAACACCACAAGTCACGGAGCACGAAGACCAGGGTGACCAGTGACTCCAGCCACCATTCTGCCGGACTGACATCAGAAGCACAAAGAGATCATTGTCCCAGGCTGTGACCTGGGGCCAGGCGATCCCCAAATCTGTCCTCCCAGCTAGTCTGTTTCCACTAAAGAGGGCAGGCCAAAGAGCACCACCGTCACCCAGAAGAAAGCGCCTCTCGTGGTAAAACCCTTCCCTTGGGCCATGGCCTCCAGACATCAGCAAACAGCTGCTGCTGGCACACCCACACGCAGAGCCATCCACCCTACCCTGGAGCACGGCACGGGCACACTCACTTCTTGTGTCGCATTTGCCCAGGCTGCATGCCCTCGTCTGAATGGAGGGGCCCAGGCAGGTGTTGCTGGTGACATCACAAGACCGGCCTCTCTGCTGGGTCCCAGAGCCACAGGTGACAGAACACTCTGTCCACTCTGCCCACGGAGACCAGCCCTCCTCATTTTCTGAAGCTAAGGGAGAAAGCACACATGTCCCTGAGGATGGGTTCTCCCTCTTCACACACCGTGGGGAAGTCAGGCACTGCAACCATGTGGGGCTGCTTTGGATACTTTGTAACAGGAAGGGGCTGTCCAGAAGAAAATTCCATGGGCATAGACCCACCACCTGGGAAAAGGGTTTGAGTTCCTTCAGAAGGCAGAGTCCAGCACAGGGACAAGAACACCGAATGAGTGTTAAGGAGAGAGTGGTCTAGATGTGTTTAGGGAAGTTGATCCACAGAGCCAAGGAGACGGCTCCCACAGAAAATGTCTACAGGGAGCGTTTTCAAAGCCTCCAAGAGGTCATTTCTACATAGCTTTGTTGGCTCATATAAGGTAACGGCATGTCAACCATTGGTTGAGATTACAGCTTGCATAATTTATTTCCAAACACTCGAAAGAAAATTCAATAAAAAGATAATTTTCTTGAAGAAAATTTTCACAGGCACATGGTGCGGTGGGGCCTGAGTTAAAGGTAAAGTACACAGTAGGTCTCTTAGTAGGGGTCTCTTACAGGGGTCTCTTGGCAGGAGTCTCTTGGCAGGGGTCTCTTACAGGGGTCTTTTAGAAGTCCCTCTGGGGACGAAGGAAGGAAAGAGCAGCAGCAAGGTCGACACTGAGCACAGGCAGCCAGAGCAGCCAGTGTGTCTGCTGTACTCTTGCCCTCACTGACACAGGGGAAGCAGCCTCAGGCGCCCAGTACTGTGGCAGTAGCATTGCTGTGTTGAGCAAGTAGCTGGGATTCTAGACACACACCAGAAGGGAAGACCAGGATAAAACCTAAGCAGAGGAATCCAGAACACTCGGGGATGATGCCTGGGTCTGAAGCACAGGGAAGCCACAGGTGAGCATCACCGAGGGGCCAGATCCAGAGAACAGGCACAGGGACCCACAGACCATAGGGGCTTCTGAGTGAGTTGTGGAGCTGAGTCTAGCAAGGACAGCGCAGGCTCTTCTAGGGTTCATCGGAGCCTCCAGGACTCCATGAAACCAGCCCTGCTCTGTCTTTACAGTGTCAGACTTCACAGAACTGGCTCCGCCATAGTCCAGTTCTGTGTAACTTGGACCATATCTCTGTAACTTGAGTGCACCACTGAGTAACCGTCTCTGGGTTCTGTGTTTATTTACTGGACCGTGGGTTTCACAGCAACTGCCCAATCTTCACTCAGCCCAGATCAAGCTGCGGCTTCTGATCACAGCGGCTACTGACACAGGGCCTTGTTCTTGGCCTGGGCATGGGACTTTGGTCCCTGCAGTATCGCTAGGGGCCTCCTTGTCTGGGACGGGCCAGAATGGGACAGCTGCAGACATTTAATTTTTAGAGTTCTTCAAGGCTTCCTGGCCACTGGCTAGTGGTTAAAGGAGGGCCTCAATCACGCCTCTTCTCTTTCCCCACTGCCTGCCTCTAGGAACACAAACCTCACCCTCCTCCGCTCAAACCATAAAACAAATAAACAGATGCAACCACTAGGACTCGCTACATGCTCACTACCGGAGACTTACAGTGAGAACAGGACGGGCAGCACTCGCCTTCCACGAAAGATGGGTTGGCGCAAGTCGCCGGCAAGCAAGTGATTTGGTGGCACACTGTTTTAAATTTCTGAAAGAACAGAAAAATATTTGGGAAACAATTATGTAATGTAATAGACATTGTCACGGGATCTGGATGAGGAAAAATCAGCAAGAAAAATAGGAGTTTTTCTGTCTACAAATCCTACTTCAGATATAGGGCTTGAGCAGACCCAAGGGGACTCTGAGCACTGACACTGTATCCTCCCGCCATGAGCAGAGAGATGACGGCATCAGCATTTGAGCCCTCTGGGTGGGAAAGAAGAAGAATGAGTGACTAGTCCCAGATCTCCCGACATCTGAGGTCAACACACGGACAGGGATTAATGAGAAGAAACTAGAACATTTGTATTTTCTCAATCATGACCAGGCTTCCCAGATATCTCCGTGAGCGCTGGGGCCCTGTCAGAGATGAATGGGGTCAAGCCACACACTAGCGAGGCGCTGATACAGCTGGATTCTCACTGTTTCTCATCATGTGGCAATGCTGGACACACCACCCCACCCTCAGGCTTGTGGTTTCTTTATGCACAGCAAAATGAGGTCAATTTAAGTTACATTTGTGTTCGCTTCCATGTCTAAGGCTCTCGTGGTGAGCCTCCCATGTATCTAAACATTTTCTGTACGTGTGTGTGAGCAAGTCATTGGCAGCCCTTAGGATCTGCATGTGTCAATTTGAACACGCCCACCCTGTGCAGGGCGTTTCTGCCCCCAGAAGAACCAATCTTCCAAACTCACCTTGCATGTGCACGTGGTACAGCTGTCTACCACCCAGGTTTCGTTTTCTGCAAAGATTCGGCCCTCCTGCACGCAAGCTGACATGTTCCTGGTCTTCATAGGGCCTCCGATGAGCTCCAAGAGGAATTGGTTGTCATTAGACTGAAAACAGAGGCGAGAGTTAGGAGAAGAATTCAAGGTTCTCTTCCATCGAGCTTAGGTCAAGCCTTGAAACCTCCAGGTGTAGATGGAACATTGCCCTGGGATACTAGGGTCAGGTAAAGGCAGATGGGACTGCAATCCACATGAACTTCTGCAACAAAGACCGTATCACAGAACTCAGCTACACACACGTCTCAGCCTCGCTGCCTTTTCCCTGCTCACAGCTAATACCCAACACACAGATATGCAGAAGCGCTGCCTGCTCAACTCCTCAAAAACCACCATTGTGCACAGTGGGCAGAGCTCAGGGAAGGAGAAAGAGGCCAGTTTATGAATTCACTCATCTTCCTTTCGTTCAGCAGATAGGATGAGAAAGATGTGCAATGAGCTGATAGCAAGGGAGAAGACGGCCACAAGACCAGCCACCTGGACATTATACCAGGGAAAGGGGGAAGAAGACGGCCACAAGACAAATCTGCACAAAATGCCACTAAACATGTATGTATTTGCTTTGGCCATCTCAGAACTCTGTAGGTTCACCCAAGGTGCAATGTCTGAACTTGGAAGTCAGATGGGTGTCACGAACCCTCTACAGCAAATACAGAAACACCACCTCTGTGGCTTTGTACAGCTTCAGGGCTCACACGTTTCCTTGACCTCTGATTTCACATTCAGTAACATTGGACCTGGACTACATTACAGTTGTAGGGAAGCTGCCAGACCCTGTGCTCAGCCCCTGTCTCTTCTGAGCTCTGTAGCCAGGTCTTCTGTCAAGTCAGCCAGGACCATCACTGTGCACTGAGTACTTCCTGGCACAGTAATGAATTAAGGGATACCACCCAGGGACCCTCACTAAGAGGCAAACAGAAACAGGAGAAGCTTCTGCCCAAAAGACAGCCCCACAGGGCACTCTGCACAGGCCTTGTCATGGGACTTTCTCCCTGAGCCATAGTGGAGGCTTGCAGGAAGTGTGTGTGTGATGGTCTCCCTGCCCTCTCTTCTTCTCATGATATTATGGGTGTCAGGGAGCTGCAGCCAGGAGAGACTACAGCTCTCACCTCCCTCTTCAAAGCCTCAAGATGCCCGCTCTGGTGTGTGCAATTCTGTCCCCTGCTTCCACCCACTTTGGGACACACATGTTTGACCTTAAATACAATAAGGCTGAGACATTCCTCAAGCCTGTAGACTATTCCTCTCAAAACTCTGCCCTTCTCCTAAAATATCTTCCTCTGCACGGACGTCTTTTATTCTCTGGGAGACGTATTTCCCAGAAACACAGCTTTAATGTGAGGAACTTGTGTCCCCTGACTGTGTTGTTATTTGCAATGTTTCTTGCATTTCGGGTTTTCTTCCCACCAACTTTGTGGTAGACCAGGTCCTGAAGGGTCTAACCTGAATGGCCTCTTAATACCATTTTCTAATCATAGATTCTCCAAAACAGTGAAGAATTAGTCCTCAGAGGCTGACTGGATGGCTGCTGGGAGGGCTTCCCTGACAGGCTACCATCTGTTCCCCCTACCCTCGCTCTGCCACCTCCCGTGTGCTCACCACTGTCTCCAGGTTCTTGCTCAACTGGTTCACCATGACGTGCAATCCAGACAGCTCGTTCATCATGTTGCTCAGCTCCTCACAGGAGTGTGCGCACACTTCCTGTGTCTTGTCCACACCCTGGACCACCAGTTCTGTGGTGATGTGGGGACTCAGGTGGAGTGTCTCTGTGTACTCATTGATGGTGTTGACTTCAGCTACGTGAGAGAAAGCACGGTCAGCAGAGCACAGGCTGTAAGATGGCAGACTGACCACTGTCCACTGGCATCCATTGATGTGGTCAGACTGTCCACTGTCCAGTGGCACCCACTTTGTGGTCAGACTGACCAGTGTACACTGGCATCCACTGGTGTGGTCAGACTGTCCACTGGCACCCACTTTGTGGTCAGACTGACCACTGTCCACTGGCACCCACTGGTGTGGTCAGACTGACCACTGTACACTGGCACCCACTCATGTGATCAGTGAAGCACAGCTCCTGAGGTGTCACCTCTGCAGCTATAAACCAGCACCCTTGAAACTCTATGCTTTCTTGGAGTGGCCACTTGCTAGACTGTATCCATCAACACAAGAACATTGGGTGGCGACTACGAAGTGGAACAGGTTCCTAGGCCTGTAAGATTCCCCAGTGGGGCAGCGGTCCAGGAACAGAGAAGGGCAAAGCAGAGCAATGGGAGACAAGTAATTTGTAGTCCCATTTCAACCTGCAAACCCATTCTTGGGGCTTTCTTTCAGAATAAAAGCATACAGAAATATACACTTCTAGGAAAAACTGTTTTCTTTCCACACAGTATCTTCTGCTGCCCAGTGGCTCCTTGGAGTGCGGGTAGGCTCTCACAGCCTTGGCCCAATCACAGGGAGTCTGCCTGGACCACGCATTCACAGACTCCTTTAATTCTCAAGTTGCTTTGAGACAAGTCCAAAAACAGAGTCATCCTCAGTGCATCCAGAGCCAAGGGCTCCAGAGAGGAGAGAGCCCCGGAGAGAAAAGAAGGAAGGGATGACAGGCATTCACTCACAGCTGAGTGTTTATTACTTGGGCTCAAAACCTTGTTGCAATCCTCATGTCTGCTGGAAGCCTCTTATATGTAGTGTGCTACTAACCATAAAAAGTCATGCTAAAATAAGTACTTGTATAAGTAGACAGGGACACTCTTAAATAGATTTTGAGTAGATTTTTTTCAGCATTTATTTTCATTTATGTTTTAAAAATCTTTAGTTCATTTGAGATATTTACTTTTCATATCTCAGAATTAATCAAAATCAGCCAAGTTGTGCTTTTGCACCCCCTGCCTCTGCCCTGGATGGGTTCCAGCGGATGACAGACGGATGTTTGAGCCAGTCTGTTCCTGTCAGATCTACACCAGTGTCTGCAGCTGTGAAGTCTGAATGACTCAGCCTCGAAACAGACATTCTTATCTTCACAAACATCAAAGAAGTCACACTCTGAGACCAGGCTCATGAGTTTGTTTTCCCAGTGACTGCAATAGTCAAGTGTGACATGACCAGGGAGGAGAATGGCGGTCTCTGCCAGACCCAAGCTCTGAGGGGAGAACTCACAGTGGGTTCTGACATACGGATAAAAGTACATGAATCCAATGAGTCCATCCTCACTCCCCATCTTCAGAGAACAGATGTGGACTTCTGTGTAAGTCTATTTTATTAAGAAGGGCTCAGAACTTCTGGAAAGACCTAAGTGTTTGCTTTTCATAGTTCTACGTATTGCTGACTTGTAACTCAGAGTGTAAAATAATCCTGTTGAAGGAACCTACAGGTTAGAATGTGTTCAGAAGCCATAAGAGGGGTGAATGGTCTTGATCATGGACTGGATTACCTTCCTAGAACCTCCCGAAAATGGATTGTTATTCTTGAAATCTATTCAGAATTAATCCTTAACAGTTGTCATTTTTCAAGGGCTGAGAAGTCTAAGCTGGCCAGCGCAGTTGCCCACTTGACCCTAATTCCCAGCAGGACACTCACACGTGGCCCAGCAGCAACCCACCAGGAAAGAAGAGAAGCTCCTAGGAGAGAGCTCACCTACCTCCCTGGCTCTGTTGGCAGCCTTTCTTTCTTAGAATGTCTTCTACAGAATCTGCAAACACGAGATGGACATTCTGGAGCAGGCCCTGGGGAGAGACAGAGGAACAGAACTTCAGCTAAACCATGAGCTTGATGGAAGCAGATGACACCTTAACAAACACAGAACAGAAGATTCCAAAAGCACCAAGTCACCTCTGCTTTATCCACTAGGCCAGAAGTCTTTTTATATCAGTGACCCTATTCCTGCTACTTTGAAAATGCTACTACACACACACATACACACACATCACATGCATACATGCATGCATGCTGTGCACAAAGGTTTAGGATAAAAACATTTCTAACTAGGAGAAAATTAACCCTAGAGAAGAATGAGGGAGGCCTAGGGATAGGCAAATTTTGTCCCCTGTATGTTCCCACAGACATGCTGGGCTATTTCTGCACATGGACCTGGAATGCTGTGTCCTTGTTTGCAATTCAAGTCTCAGAAACACGTACTTGTTCAGAAAAAGTGGCCTCTGGGTCACACCAGGAGAAGGGAGTTAATGTAACATGAATGGGCCAGTCAGACAGCTATAGCAGCACCGGACAGAGCCTGCACATCTAGGTCAAATAACTAAGCTTTGACACACATTCCTTTCACAGATAAGTGCAGGCCTGCAAGAGCGCACTGCTCAAACGTCCCTTAATCTGTGGTGAGAGAGGAAAGGGTACACCCATCAGAAGATACAGCATAGGCACCGTACATCTGAGCATGTGTGATATGTGTGAATGTGTATGCAGTGTGTGCCGGTGTGTAGAGTGCACACACATGTGGTTTGTCCAAGGCAAGATTACACCTTTCCAACACAAAGGCTACACTGAGTTGCCCCACGCCATGAGCTCCCCTCACAGCTCTGTCATATGGCTGCCGTGCGGCACACGCACCCTGAAGTGACTCTCTCGGGATGCACCTTTGGCCACATACATCCTGCTTCTGTCTGCTTCCAGCTGCTCATAGAACGGTTCTTCCAGGGTGACGCTGTCAATCAGATCGCAGCCCACATATAGGCTATAGGTATCACTGGCCACCTGCACGGTCACATTCCTCCACTGGGAGTCAGCCAAGCCCACATCCTCCAGGGAGTTGGTGTGTTGGATGCCTTCGACCCAGTAATTGAGGTCCAAGGTATCCCCTGGGCCATTGGACACAATCTCAAACTGCCTCTGGGAGGTGCCGGGGCCTTCCAATACCAGGAGTGTGCCCCGGGATTTGCGGTCCTGCTTCAGCTGGGCTGTGAGGAAGAAGCCCTCCTTTGTCCTTGCAAGCTTGACAATTCTGCTGAGATCGTCTGTCCTCACTGGGGGAATGTAATCAAAGCGTACAAAACGGTAAGCGGGTACCCCAGGGTCAGGCCCTCGAAACTGTTTGGCACCGATGGTCTTCCGGTTAATGTTGCTGATGCTGAACAGGTCAAACGAAGTATCTTCGCTCTGGTCACCAGCTGCCGAAGAGAACCACAGAGGCACAGTTACAGGCTGAAAGGAGGCTTTCCAGGATGTGGGCTGGAGAACCACAAGCTCACAGGGGCTTCTCCCCATGACAAGATGCAAAGCTTTATGTGTGCATCTCCATCTCCCCCACCACTGGCTGAGCCATAGGAGGCTACCCGCAGCACTGTGGTATGGCTTTGTCAAGGGCTACAGTGTAGAAAGTGTTCTGTGTCTTCCCAGAACCCACAACATGGCTTCTTTCATAAATGTCAGCACTGTGACATCTGCCCAAATCTCCCTCCAGACCAGGCCTCTGAATTCCACCCCCCATCCCTGTTGTTCTTTGTCCCAGATTTGGGCTGAGCACAGCCATCCCCTCCTTTATGTGGCTGGGGAAGAAAGAAGTTTAAAAAGTAGACCTTTGGCTTTTGGTTGTGGGATTTAAGGGTCCACTAAATCCTATCTTGCATTCTTGGAATGGCATTCTGCCTTAAACAGATGGTGTAGACCTCTTTTCATTTCTGTAGAAATACCTTCAATGAATAATAGCTAGTGTGCACTGTGGGCCAGGATCTGAGACAGCAATGGACCGCGTGACTCTCAGTGAGGGGTCTGAACTCACTGTCCAGCTGCCAATGAGAAAAGTCACCAGATCTTAGCAAAATTAGAGCAGGCTCAATAATTCAAATGGATATGCTGACGAGAAAGTTAAAACAAAACATAGCTTCTCATCAGGTGCCCAGAAACTGAAAAGAAAATAAATCACTGCTTATAGAGGCACAAATATTATCATTTTAAATAAAAATATTAGCAGCAACACAATTAAAATAATTAGAACTGGTGACTATTGCCACTAAAAATGGCAGCCCAAGTTGTATAATAATTAGAACTGGTGACTATTGCCACTAAAAATGGCAGCCCAAGTTATATAAATGATAATAATGCATAAAGACCCAGCTATGTGAAGCAAGTACCTCAGTTTCTAAAAGACCATCTCTCCATGCTATACAGACTCAAAAGTAAGAGCATTTTTTTATTGACAAACATAGAAAGAAAACTTCACATGCAAGATGCAGACTCCAAGACTCTTGCTGGTCTTAGCTGGTCAGTGCAGCTAAGCCACACTGCAAACAGAGACAAGGGTTATGTCCCTTCTCACCATAAGCTCTTGGCCCCAAGCCCAGAGCCAGCAGGGCCATTGCCCAGAGCATCCTGTCTCCACCCGTGACACTCAGAAGAGAAGCAGTCTCGCCGGTGATGAGCGCACAGCTGCAGCCTGAGTGTCACTGAGAAATCTGCACACGTGACCTTTGAGGAAAAAAAAAACAGTTTTCACACAAAAATCAGAAGCAAATGTATCTGTGGGAAGCAAAACTTTAGACAAGAAGCTTCCTTTCCAACTAGGTTCTTCTAACTGCTGCTAGCACTCATCCCCTACTTCTCCCTGACATCGAGGAGAGGGGATTCTGAGCACTCGTGCTGAGTGGTCACCATAACAACTTAGGGTTCCTGCGGCTGAGACTATGCTCCCTGCCCTTTGGAGGAGTAAATGGGGGCTGCACCAAAGCATTGCTCCCCCTGAGGAACTCTGATACAGACTGAAGTCCAGGTCCTGTGGGGTGAAGACTCTGGACAGGCATTCTATGTCAATGTCCAGGAAAAACCCGTTATGCTGCCTTAATTAAACACAACCAATACTAACTGCCATACGAAGTTACGAATAAACTCAGTGCATTTTCTTAGGACAAGCAGAAAATTTTACTTGGAGGGTTTTACCCCACTGTGCTAGTCTCCTGCAGGCCTGTTTTTCCATTCTCAGGGATTCTGAGTTGGCTCACTGGACTTTGGATTGGAGGAAGTCAGGAGGCCTGGCTTGAAGCCCAGCCCCACTGCTCCTGCTCTGTTAACTCCTTATGGGCTTCCCTGGGCCCGGGTGTCAGCTCCCCATCCAAGAGGAAGGAGTATGGGGTGATGGCCCTGGCTCTGTTCCCTGTCTACCCTGCTCTAAGGAAATGGAACCATACACTGAGTCCCTCATCTGTTAGGTGGCTAAAACGGCCTAGTTTCTCATTGATAAAAACACCTAAGCAGTCCCCTCTCCAGAGCACTTTGGAAGGCTGGAAGCAGTGAAAGTCTCCTCTCCAGAGGAAGGTGATGTGGCAGGATCCTCAGCCTTTGAGAGTGTGGTCCTGATGCCCACAGCACTGCCCAGTGTTCATCTACTAAGCTCTAGATCATGGTGCAGGAGGCAGCTGAGCACACCATCCCACCTGAGCCCTTAACATCAGCTTGTCCATCCAGACAATCCTCCCATCCTCTGACTTGGTGTCCTTGTCTGTGGCTCGATAAATTCACTCTTAAAATATCTATCTGGGGTGTTGGAGAGAGACCCTATGCAAATGAATATCCAGTGAGTTCTTTGAGACACAGCAAACATGCCTTCAGTGGGTCCATAGCTTGGGGGGCTCTTAACACTGTGTCCCGAGGCAGTTTTTTTCTGGAAATTGAAGAACAAGGTAGACCCTGTCAGACACTTAGAACAGAACCAAGACCTCGGAGAAAGTTGAGAATCTCAACTGAGTCCCTCTCTGAAGGCTGCAGCCTGGCCTACCCTTGAATCCCTAATCAGGTGTGTGCCCCAGGACATCTGATTCTGCCCCCAAATTTCACCTTATCCCAAAGACAGCTGCAGGATGCCAGCTCTGCAAAGGAGAACTCCATCTCAGAATGACGGTTGGCCTGCTTCCATGCACGCACAAGCGGAGTCCCTTAAACTGTGCTTTGGTAAAATCCACCGCAATCAGGAGTGCCACAGAAAGCCAGCATAAGCTCCCATCTCATCGTGCTGCCTTCCCCAAATCAAAATGGGACAAAGGAGTGGAGAGTGTCTGGAACTGGAACAAGCATCCTGGCAGCCAACGCAACTGCATCCCAGCTCCATGGCACTAGGCGCCCCCTGAGCCGGAGCCTCTTCCCCGACCACAAGTCCACACTGCAATGGGTAGACTTTCATAAAGGCTTTCTGCAATGGGGTATCATTACAAACTTACATGGGTCTCACCCAAGTTTACCTCTCAGGAGCAAAGTGCCTTTGCTGGGTGATCTCTATGCCCCTCAACACCTATTGCTCTGCCTGCTTCCCTCCTTCCTCCCTCCCCACCAGACCGCCCTCCTTCAGTTGCCTCAGCCTACCAGCAAATTACCCAAGCAGCAACCCAAACGCAGTTCCCTTCAGAGCCCCCAGCCCACGGCACTGCACATTATAAAGACAGCTACACTTGGTTCAGCTGCTAATAATGTTTAGAGTTAGGATCGCTATAATCCGCTGATTATTTTCACATTCTCAAGGGATCTTTCGACATTCCTTTCTCTGCCCCTCCTCCATATCAAACTTCAGTGTAGAAACCTCTTATTTTAAAGTAGAATATGTCAGGGCTTTCCCCAGCATCCTAGGAATAAAGCCAGCCAGACCCTCATATCCCTGGGATCCTGCTGTGGGAGACCCTGGGGCCAAGACAGCAGCACCGCCTGTTCCTGGTTGGTCTCTAACTGTGCAGGGCAAACCTAGGGTGAGAAAACCACGCTGCTAAGCATGGGAGGACATAGCTGCACTTTTCCCCTCCAGCCTCCTGGAAACCACAAGCCTGTTCTGAAAAATCACAACCCAATGAAATGTCTTAGAAATAAAAAGGTACCTTGTGTGTTTGAAAATGAATGATGACCGATGTCAGTGTTCTAAGTCTGTCTTGAGGAGTGACCTGGCCAGGGAGGCTGTAGACAGCAGAGGCTTTCGCTGCCTCCAGGCGGTGACTGGCTCCTTTATACGCCCTTTCTCCAAGAGGCCTGTCAATCAGACACACGCGGAGGCACGTTTAATTCATTCTTTAGAAGGAGTGTCATAATTCCTCCTCTGCTCTCACCATTTGCTCCGAGTACCTGGGGTCCCAGGCCAAATCCAGCCCCTCTGAGCTGAAGCCCCTCCTACATGTCCACCCAGGCTTTCCAGACAGGGGCCAGGGGAGGAGTTAGACAAGAGGGGAAGGCAGGGACTCACTTTTCCTGTCTTCTCTCAGGAAATAAAAAGCTATAAATAAAACCAGCGAGATTGGCTGGGACTCCCCATTTTGCCGAGCAGGGGAAAAAAAAAGCCAATTCTATGTTTCAATGTGTTTCAAATTATCCAGTGTGATACTGGTCTTTCTAAACCAAGTGAATGACAACCTGAAAAACAGGGAGAGACCATAAGTTCACCATTGTGCTGGGGAAGTTACTCTATTCAAAGACTTGGTTTGTGTCATATGCAAAAAGAATTTACTAGAAAATTCATTTGTCTCTGACCCTGGGAAGTAGCCCTGCTTCTGGGAGAACAGACCTTAATCTAAACTCATTTCCACTGTTCAGCCAGGGCCCTGCGACTCTATGACCAAGTCTCTCTGAGAGAACTCAGTCCTCAGGCAAGTTTTGTTGGGACAGCTAGCTTGCCCAAGAATGGGAAACTTGTAGTCAGAAGTACTCTTTGCAGTTAATAAGATAGGGTGGGGGCAGGTTAGGGGCTCTGCGAAAATATAGGGACAGGAGCTGATGCTCCTTCTACACCCTGCAAGCCCGAGAGGACAGATGATGAGTACGGGGAGAATAAGGCCAGTGCCTGGGTGGATGACAGCTAGGTGGGAGCAGGGTCACCTGAGGAAGACAGTCCGCAGGGAAGCTGGGGACAGGTGGTTCCTCCAGAGCCCAAAGCAGATGGTAGAGCCGTGGCATCTCCCACAACCATTGCTTGGCTTCATTCTCTGCAGACGACACTAGTTGCCTGAGCATTGATCTGAGCTGACGCACGATGATGTCAGGTCTCATTCAAAGAACAGGGGAGAGAAATGAAATGGGGGATGTGCTTAGCCACCTTCTGTTCTTGGTTGGGTATTTAACTGAAGTATCCCGGCACTCACTGTGCTACATCCCCTTAGTCTGGGACCAAAGTGGGCAGGGAGCCTGCAGACAGCACCCCAGGAGAAAGCACTGCTGGGTGAGGGCAGCTGTGAGACACAGAGACAGGAGGGAGAGGAGGCTGCAATTGGAAAAGCCATTTTTTCTTATGAAGACTCTTCCTGCATCACTCCCTAAGAAATATCAGTTTCTACCTGGGCAGGGATAGCACACACTTTTGATCCCAGCACTTGGGAGGCAGGGGCAGGTGGATCTCTGTGAGTCTGAGGCCACCCCAATCTACAGAGCGAGTTCCAAGGTAAACAAGGCTACATAGAGGAGACCCTGTTTTGAAAAACAAAAACAAAACAAGAAAAAGGAAGAGGAGGAAGAGGAGGGACGAAGGAGAAGGAGACAGGATGGAGAGAGAGAGAGAGAGAGAGAGAGAGAGAGAGAGAGAGAAGGAACAGTTTCTGGACCAACAACATCATTCAGGAATAACACTTGCTACAAAGCCGCACAACTTGACTTGGATCCTTTGAACCTACGTGGTGGAAGAAGAAAGCCGACTCCCACAACCTGTCCTCCCACTTCCACTCACAAGCTGTGATCCATGTGTGCACACTCCCAAACACGTACACATACCTCAAACATACAAATCAATTAATAAATTTAGTAAACATCTAGAAAAGGTGTTCGTTCCTAACTCACAAATAGACAAGCTTGGCCTCTAACAGTACGTGTGTCTTCTCTGAAGGAGGTTGCATTGCTTTGAGTCAATTAATTAATGACCAATATCTTGATTTTTAACTAAAATCATTAGATTAAAATTTATATTACGATTCAAAGCTGAAAGGAAAATGTCACTGGGCTCCCTGAATTGCAGTGCCTAACTGCCCTATTGCTGTTCAGATCCACACCCTCTATGGTAGCTCTTACAAGGAGAAGCATGGGGGTCAGGGTGTGGGAATGGCATGCACTCTCTACAGCATCCTCAGTCAGCAGGGATCCATGCTGCTGCCAATGTGTAGAAAGATGCCCCCTTTGAAATGTCCCATAAAGAAAACCAAGAAGGGTCAATGGAAGAGGGGACATGAGTTGGCAGTGTACATTGTAGGAGTGGAACACGGGGAAAGCCAGAAACAGCCCAGGCAGACAGATGGTGAAGTAGAATCAGTGTTAAAATGACTCCCGTGATAGAGATTGCTGAGGGCTGTGGGTCAGTGTAGCCATGACAACATGAATCTTCCAGACAAGAAGTCATGGAGCTAGTGACATTGCTCTCATGGCCCTACCTAGCACACAGGGGTTTTTCTCAGGTATCTTACTTCTCAGTGTCCTCGTTGGGGGTGTGATGTACACACAGAGCATGGAGAAAGACAATGGAACAGCGGCGGGTTCTCAGGTGTGTGGAGACTTCTGGGAAACATGCAGAGCAAGGAAGGGCCATGTGACAGGAAGGTCTGAGGGATCATGCCCATGGAATCCGCGGATGCCAATTTACTGGAGCTAAGGTCTGCATCTAGGAGGAAAGTAAGACGTGGTCACTTTAAAGGAGGTCATCTCTCACCTACTACATTTGCCCCATTGGAAGAGAAAAATTTTAACCCAGTGAAAGAAGGATACAGTGAGAGAGACCTAGCCATTCCTGGATGGCACCAGCAAGAGCTGGGCACGGTAAAGCACAGCGGAATGCTGCCAGGGTAGCCAGTTCTGTGCTGCGCGTTCATCAGGTCTGTAAGCACACCGCTAATGCTCCCTGTGAGTAACTGAAACTGCCACACGTGACCACTGACAGACCCCTTCCCTGCCACACGTGACCACTGACAGACCCCTTCCCTGCCACATGTGACCACTGACAGACCCCTTCCCTGCCACATGTGACCACTGACAGACCCCTTCCCTGCCACACGTGACCACTGACAGATCCCTTCCCTGCCACACATGACCACTGACAGACCCCTTCCCTGCCACACGTGACCACTGACAGACCCCTTCCCTGTGCCCTGCAGCTTTGGGCTGAGAACTGTCAGCCAAGTAGCCTGTTTTCCGACAACCGGCCAGACTGTCCACACTGCAAGTTGGTGAGTTTATACACTTTACCGTCACTCTAAGGATCCTCGGACAGTCTCAGAGGATCAATCCAAACATGGCTGAAGACACATGTCAGCCATGACCACTCCAGAAAGCCTACGGCAACAAACTCTAGATGATCGTGTAGTTACATTCATCCAGGCCAGAGGAAAACACTTCCCCTGGGGGCCCAACAGAAGGGCTGTGATTGGCACAACCCTATCTTTCATTTGCATAAAGAGCTGTGCTGTGGCTGATCCAAGTGTCCTTGTCACACCCCTTGCTGTTTACATAAGTGGGTTCACTTTTCAAGTCAACGGGAGGACACTTTGCTATCTCACTCCTGGGACTGAAACATCGGGCCCAATAAAATCCTTCTTCCAATGGTCTTGTCTTTGCGTACTTCTGATTCCGTCACAAACGGAGCCGCCCCCTCTGGTAACACAAAGAAGAGATCTCGGGAAAGCAGCAACAACAACAGTGGCGGACCCAACCATAGCGCACATGGCAGCAAGGAAGAGGCTCACAAGAGTCCCAGAGAGTGGCTGGGACACAGCTTGCATGACCAGAGATGTCAGAGGACAGTGAACGTATGAACAGCATTGGTAAGGAGCCTGGAACCCCATTCCTAGAAGGAGTCCTAGTCTTAAAGCCAAGGGTCCTGATGTCCAATGCTCAGTCAGGAACTGTGACAGCTGATGCTATTAAGAACCATGGAGCATGGTAGAGAAGGCTTGATAGCTGTGACATTAGATCGTTCAAATTGCTTCTCCTATCACGGCTGCAAAGGACCAAAGACGACACCAGCTGACCAGGGCCCGGTTACTATAACCAAAGCCTAGGGCAACAGGACTGCAACCTGAGTACCTAGAACTCTATGTCTCTGACTGTAGAACAAGGAGCATCAGTTTCTGGTTCTCAAGACTATAAATCTCATGTCTGTCATCTTCTGGTTGGTGCCTGGCATAGTCATACCATGACTTCAGACTCCTGGCCTCCAGAACGGTGGGACAATTTTTATCATTTAACCCTCACCTGAGGGATTCTCTGCTGGTTGACAGGCATGCTGCCTGACTGACAGACACACTGCCTGACAGACACCTTGCCTCAGTACTACAAATACTGTTTAAAACTACACAACCAGCAAATAGGAATTCCTAGCACAGAGGACAATTCTCATTGACCTACACCATCTTAGTTCAGCTCCAGAAGGAGAAGCAGAGTAGCCAACAATGACGACTTAACAGCGGGGGCAAAGAACAGGGCAGTGGGTGGGAAGAGGTTGGAGGAGGGCCTCCACACAGCCCTGCTGTGATCTCTTCCTAAAGCAGGACAAAGGCCCAGAGCAATGCAAGACAGAAGGCCTTGGTCATGAAGCAAGAGGTCCTGGCAGGCTGACAAGATGAACTGATCTAATCAGGCAAACTCTGCCCCAGAGTCGAAGGTCAGTGTGATCTCCACAGACAACAAACCCTGTGGGCATGGGCATCAGACGCCCACATGTGGCTGAATTGCGATCCAGCAGAAGGAAGAGGCAAGGGCAGCCCTTTGCAGAGCAGCGGGGCTATCGGAGAGCAAACCAGGAACCAAAAGTAAAATAGTAGATAGGGTTATGGGCATAATGTCCTCCCAGATCCTGAGACGAGGCAGAGCACTATCAGGAGACAGGCTGACCCAGCGATCAGCGGAGGTTCCTTCTGAATGGCCATGTGGCACAGAGCATGAAGACACTTGCATGAATGGGATAAGACAGCCTACTTTCCACCTGGAACCCACCAGGCTTAAAGGAAGACAGGCAGCTGAGCTCAGCATCATGGCTTCAGAAGCCT